GCCAAGTGAGATGAAGATTGAAGTTGGAAGGGGAAATTCTTGATCCCGAAATTACTCTCCCGTAGGCTTGGCACTGTGCCTTGAAGGTAGTGGTTTCGGACGTCAAAAAGTTTTCAATTGGCTCAAAAAAAAAAAAAAGGTACCGCCAAGGACTGATTGCGGTCCCTTCCCTGACATCCTGTCTGTCTGACGAGGGATGCGAACATACTTCGACCTCTAAATTAATTCTATATCATCCTAAATCCCATCAAAACGTCCCCACGCCCTTGTCCAATCAAGACGCCCCTGTCAACATTGATCACATGACGTCACGGTAGAATGAACTGGTATTCTTGATCTGTAGATGTGGCCTTGAACATGAAACTTTACCACGCTGCTGTATGAAAGGACAATACGTACTTTCGTTGTAGGTTACCTTGTTGGAGATCATGCAGGCAGTGTCACTTGGAATTTTCGAGAATAGTGGACCACCTGAAGCATTCTGGAGCACATGTCTTATCTCCTGTTACGGGTGAAAAACCGATACAGTGGTGTCCCTATTGTGAAAGTCCTTCCTGCCGACCCTCCACCACCGACGCATGGATTGCAATCCTCAAGTTTCGCCTAGCACCATCCAAACAGAGACCTCGTGGATTCTGACTTGATATTGCCGGCACAGGTGCGAGCTCTCCGAGAAACAGCGCGCTCGAGACGAGTCGCAGGTGTACGAAGAGCAGAGGGTCACGTTCACGTCGGCTGATGACGTACCCTTGAGCCGTGCAATATTACGGGCGCCGCCGCAGACGCATTCGAAGATGTGTTGAACTGCAGTGCGTGAGTCATCTTATACTATTTGAAGTCAACCACCGCCAGGCTCGTGCTGCAACGGACTGTGACTCACCTTTGCCTGCTGGGTGTACTGTGTACGCTTAGGCAAGAGAGACGGTTAGCCGCGGGCAGGCACGTAGCCCGGAGAGGGGGGGGGGGGGGCACGGAGCCTCGCCCCCCCCCCCCCGAAATCTTTCACTTTGCTAAGACCTCCTCTCCCCTCCCCCTCATGCAGCCCTTTGTCATAGACGGGCCCTCCCCCCCCCCCCCCCCCCCCCCGATACAAAATCCTGGCTACGTGCCTGGCCGCAGGCATTGGATGCGAGCAAACAATGACTTAAGATATCCCTACCAAAGAACCTGTGGCAGGAGATGCTCCAACTCCGCTCCTGGAACGCCACCTGGTTCGAGTACTCGACTATCACGTTTTACTGTTGAAACACTCCTATCCAATCGAGGCCATGCACTTGATCAAGTGAGGTGAGTTCGTCAAACTCACTCGAACCCAAGTGTGTTCCTCAGGAAGAAGCCGTTTGGCGCACTGCAGAAATGACACCAAAGGCGAAGTACACTTGGTTGAAGTGCTTGGAGTTGAAGTGCTTGGACAAAAATAATTTTAGAAATTATTTTCGCGAGAAGGTTAATAAAGCTTGGACTTGGGTTCGGGCTAGTTGGTTGCACATAGCTAAATGTGCTGCGCTTCGCAGTTCTACACAACAAACGGGTGACCAGAAAATGAAAGGAAAACCATGAGTTACATTGAGATGAGGAGAAACACAACGTACATGAATGGGCGCAGACTAACACCTGTTTATTCTTTTCTTTTTTGTCCTTCTCCATGCGTACTTTTTCCATGCGTTCTTTTTTTTTTCAAGTTCACGCAGGGGAAATTTCATGCATGGAAAAGAAAAAAAAAAGAGAAGATTAAACAGTTGTTAGCCTGCGCCACGATGAAAGAAACACATTTAGGTGATGACTCTGGCCGCACTTCCCGCGAAGAGCGAGCGACCAGATCGTGTTCGGAGCCTCAAACCGGGAGTAGTTAGTTCAGCGCTGAGGTATGAGGCGCCGCCTCGGCGGCCCCGGTGTCGGCGGCGTAGCGTGCTCACCTTTTTCGCGGTGTTGTGGTGTGGTGTGGTGGTGGTGTGCGGCCAGTGGCTGGCCTCGTGTTTTGCTTTGGGGCTGTGCCCATCAGAGCTGGCACCATCGTGCGTTAACCCGAAGAAGAGGGAAGAGAGCACAGACTCACGGACCCTGGCGACTTGGTGTCGGCGTGGCGGCGGTGAGGCACTCCAAGAAGCGGTGAGCGAGGGAATGCGGGACCACTGCTGGGAGAAACAAACAGACTTTGGGAGGGGCGTCATATTTGGGCGCCATCTATCCCCGTGCGAGTGCAGCGCGCTCGGTGCGCCGAACATAATGTGGTCGCCGCATCGGACAGAGTCATCACCTTATTGTTTCTTGCACCGTGGTCTGCACCCATTCATGTGCGTTGTGTTTCTCCTCCTCTCAATGTAACTCATTGTTTTCATTTCATTTTCTGGTCACGCGTTTGTTGTGTAACTTCGCAGCGCAGCACATTTAGCTTCGCGAGAAGGGGTCGATAGAAATCGTCAAGTAAAACTGGGCTCATTTAAATCACAATTGAAATCACCTTGATTTTCATTCTTTACCACGTAGTTTTAATGCCGCTTTTTTTTTTCTGCCTTTGACTCACAGGCAGGGAACTCGAGTTTGGTACAATCAAGGTGGAGCCCGAAAAATCATGACGATATAAATTGTAATTAAACTATAGGTTAAATTAAGATTTTAATTTGATAAATCATTATTAAAATTTTTCTTGCCGAGAAAATTGTTTTGGCGCATTTCCACCTAATGATGGGTGTCCATTTTATTTTTTAATACAAATATTTACGGAACGTTTTAACCGTGCACTTGGAGTAATGGTTTCGATGTATATTTCCACCAGTCCTTGTAACTGGGACACCGTCCTGCCATTTGGGACCTTCGCCTACAATGCGTATGTGCAATCAACCCCTCGGTTCTCCCCTTTCTGTTTGGTTTACGGGCGTGAGCCATCGACTACACTCGACTCCGTCTCGCCTTACCCAGGTGACGCCACTCACAACGATTCTTCGTCTCATATCGCCTACCGAGCAGAAGCGAGCGTCAACTCACCAGATCACGTACACTCCAACACGAACAACAATCCAAACTCGACCACGATAATCCGTACCAACATCGCTACGGTAATCCCAATGACTTCGTGCTAATGGATTTCCCAACTCGCCGAACCTGACGGTATGAAAAATATTTACCAAAATATATTAATATTTGTTTATATTAATTTACGATTACAGGTTATGATGGGGCTGAGAAAATATATATTCGGTTAACCATTACTCGCAAAAATATGCAGGGCACGTCCCAAACGTACTGAGTATAGCAATTATGATTGAGACAATGTGATTATTATGAGAGCACCTCAACACGTGCCACCAATAGGGCTTCACATCAGGAGCGACGTTGCTTGAAAACGTTCGTAACTCAAACCTCACGTACTGCAGGAAGCGACCCAAGCAGCACAATTCACCGGCTCAAGCTTGAGCCTGCTTGGGCAGCCGGGGAAAGTTTCCCTGGCCCAAGCACCGTTTTGCTCCAAGGGGCAAGCTAGCCCCAGCCTGGCTAGCCGGCCCGGCAGTTCGGTGGGGGTTCCTTGTACAGCCAAGCTTGGCTAAACGGTGTAAAACAAGCCTGGGCCAGGCTGGCAGTTCAGTGGTCAGCCAAGCTTGGCAAAACGGTCTAAATGCATCCTGGGCCACACTGGCAGTTCAGTGGTCAGTCAAGCTTGGCAAAACGGTGTAAATGCAGTGTGGGCCAGGGTGGGAGTTCTCTGGTCATTCAATCTTGGCTATACGGGGAATTTACAGACTTCTCCCAAGGAAGTCTATGTTGTCATTCAAAGGATGTTTTAGAGCGCAGCTCTTAGGGGCCCGTCTCCAGCCTGAGCGGCGTCGGCGTCGCCGTTGGCGTCGCCGTTGGCGTCGCCGTCGGCGTCGCCGTCGCCGTCGGCATCGGCGTAACCGCGCCCCTCCCTCTCCTCCTCCTGCCCTCCTCCTCCTCCCCCTCCTCCTCCTCTTCCTCCTTCCCCTCCTCCCCTCATTGTGTAGTATGGTCCGGGCGGGTCACGTGACCTCGGGGGGAGGGGATCACATGACCCGTTTCCAGCCTGTGCGGCGTCGGCGTTGGCGTCGCCCCTCCCCCTCCTCCTCCTCCCCCTCCTCCCCCGCCAAGGTCACGTGACCCCGGGGGGTGACTCCCCTCCCCCCGCCGAAGTCACGTGACGGCCCGCCCAAGGTCATGTGATCCCGTCCCCTCGAGGTCACGTGACCCCCCGGACCTCTGCCGGGTCCGGGGGGTCACGAAGGTGGAGGAGGGGGGGAGGAGAGACGAGGAGGCGGAGGCGAGGGGAGGGGAGGAGCTTGAAGGACGAGGAGGTGGTAAAGGAGAGGGAGGGGGAGCAGGAGGGGAGGAGGACTAGCAGGCATGATCACGAGGGAGGAGGAGGAATATACCCTCCACTCCTCCTCCTCAAGAGCTGCGCTCCAATTCGGCGTTACAGGAACTTGTAAACGGCTTTCACTTTTTTGTGGCATATGATATAGTCAGACATCTCCAATTTTTGGTGCTGTGTGCAGAAAAAAACTGGTTGCTACCTTGTTCCGGATTTAGCGACCCACGATTAATGGAGCTGCTCCAGTAATTTTCTCAGAATACTTAAACAATAAAATGAAAGTTGAAAACATGTGCGAGCTGCTGTATTTATTGTGCAGTTGGCATGCAAATGAAGCTGCAAAATCAAGTCAAGTTTGATACAGTGGTTTTTTATTTCATGTTCAGTACACGGTGCTAGCTTATGCCCCGAGTCCCACTACAGCGACAAACAGAATCAAATGACGACAAGTCTCAAACTTGAGTCTTTCGCCATTTCACAGGCTTTGTGGAATAAAGGAGGCTATGCTTAAAAACAAGCATCATGCACGCGAGGGTATCTTTGGCAGGCTTAGAATCACTCATGCTTATTTCACGAGCACCAAACGAATAAACGCCTGCCAAAGGTACCATCACGGGCATGCTGAATGGGTTGGAGGCTTGTAGCTGTCGTTTGTTTCTGTTTGTCGCTCTCGTGTTCCACTAGAGTGACAAAGGCTGTTTGCTGGTCGAGTATCTGCTGCCTGGCAACTGGGCTTCACAGCTAGTAGGTGGCTCTGCCGATTCGAGTACTTATGACAGCAGTTGTCCATGGTTCACCCCATGGCCACTTCATGGCTGTGACGTAGAGCTGGATAGCAGCACCTGGAGAAGGAACAAGATAACCAGTGATGCATGTTTAGTAAATATGTTTTACATGAACCATGCTCCTAATTAAATTATAACACAGCAGAAAGGCCACCCAAAAGTCTTGGTGGTATGTTCAGTCTCCTTCAATATAAAAGATGTACTAAAAGCGCGTGGCCGTGATGGCCGTGGGTGCTATGTGCGCTCCACGAGATTCTGTTCTGCCTCGAGGAAAGGACGCTCACTCGGGGCTCAACTGGTCCTGAACTTGTTAACCGTTTTTGGTTTAGACTAAAAGTGTGCTTCATCGGCATTGCGCCCAGAGTTGTGATCATGGAGGCTCGAAGTAAGCATGCTCATTATTGTTTTCGTTATCAGTTGTTTCTGGTGTAAAATTTGAAAACGGGCACAAATATTAACGTTACACCCGAGTCTCATATTTGAAAAATAAAATGTCTTGAAGAGCGGATTCATTAATCAGAAGGATGGCATAGACCATGCACTTTAAAAGTGAAAATAATTGCCTTGACTCGGGCCAGTTTCTCTCGGACAGCCATTTCAGAATTAGTTGCTGTGACATAATGCGAATGAACTGCTCTCCACCGTCAACCCGAAAACTGATAAGTGTGCATTGCGCTTTAGCTGAGCACTAAGTGAGTTCCCCCTTGGGTAGATTGGGATCTCCCAGAGCACACACAGTGCCCCCACCAGTCACTGCCTCGGCCAGGCGCTCCCACGGGGTCTTTCATACTGCAGGAGAATACAGAACGCAGGAACTACAGAACTTGACAGTGACAAGCATGATTTCCCTCCATTTGTAGAATACTACTGTCAGTAAATGCAAAATAAAAGCCAGTTAGAGCACCTCAATGTGAACACCACATATAACATACAGTACTGTGGAAGGTTGCTCAGATCGTTTGAAAGCAGACTGAATTGCCCCAAGGGAATTTTTCTTGTTTCTCTTATAGTAAAACCAAGCCATAAGTACAACTTCACTGTAAAGACAATGTTTTCTATCTGCTTTTCTTTAAATGCATAGAAGTACTTTTTGGTATTTATGTTACCTACCTCTAAAAAGACGAAGGACCAGTAAAAGGAAACACACAGACATAGTTACGTAGAAAACAAGCGTGTTGGTAAGAGTAACTAAACATGAGGAAGAAACATAAAAAGGGGAGGACGGACGGACGGACAACTTTGTTGTCCGTCCCCCCTTTCTATGCATCTTCCTCATGTTTAATCACAAACACAGCGCTGTGTCTTTCCTTTTACTGGTCCATCTTTTTTGCACTGTTTTAACCCATTCAATATGGCCATCAACCAACTTGCCCAACTTTACACCTTGCTACCTCTAAGGTAGCAATATAAAGTGGTCTCAACTTCCACTGACAGCTCTGAAGCTATAAACCCACAAAAAACCAAATTCCCTAGTAATTAAAACAACACAAAAGAAAATCAGATCAGAAAAACATTCAGTCTGATTTGATTATATTGAATCAATAAATACAATGAATGTGAGCAAGAATTCTTGTGAAAATGTATTATAAACTTTGAATGTAAAATGGTATGAGAGTCCTACTAAAGCAACCAAGAGGAACAACCGACCCCAACACGACTTAAATACATTCAGCATGCACACGAAGATACCTTTGGCAGGCCTCCCATTTTTCGAGGCTCATGAAGTAAGCACAAGTTATTGCAAGAATGCCAAAAGATATCTTTGTATGCATGCTGCATGGTCTTGGGGCTTAAGATGGCAAGTTGGCTATTCATCACTGAATAATATGCAAAAAAAACACAGACACAACAAAGGAAGATCTGGACAGGACACGGCATAACCTTCAACTGAATGGTTCATATAAAAAAACAGAAATACATATAGAACCTTTCAGGCAACATTTCATGGGTGCGCCGCTGCCACCTCGACGTCATGTGATCCTGCCGCCATAGCCGACCTTCAGTTTCTCGCAGTTGCTCCGCGTTGTGTGCGGCACCGGCCACCACCGGAGCTTTGTTCTCGAGTTCTTTTACGTTCTGCGTTGAAATCTTGTGTTTGCTTTAGGTCCTTTTGATATTTCGGGCTTTCATTTAATCATTTGATATCTACATTTGAACATCGCTCTTGTATTTTCTTATTTATAGAATGGAATCGGACAGCGAATGGATCGACGATAAAAGATTATGGCCTAGGCTTCAGAAACCATTAAGTTCATCACATTTTGTTTTTATGGCTAATAAGAGCAGTCAACACCATTGCGACACATAAAAATTTCAACTGACGCTGTAAGGCTATCGCAGTCGTGCTTCTTGCTGCATGTGCGAACTTTAGACATTGTTTCCATAAGTAAAAGCCGAACTGCATGTAAGTGCTCAAGCGAGCGGCGAGACGAGCAACCGCGACAACGATGAGAGTCAGCGACGAAGATTTCGGCACCATGACAGAACAGCACACGACATAACAGCACGCGACCAAACAGCACGGTCAAAACAGCACAGCGTCAAAACAGCACAGCGTCAAAACAGCACGGCGACAAAACAGCACGCGTCAAAATAGCACGCGACAAAACAGCACAGTGTCAAAACGGCACAGCGACAGAAGAGCACATGCCAAAACAGCACGGCGTCAAAACAGCACGACGTCAAAACAGCCCAGCAACAAAACAGCACAGCGTCAAAACATGACATTGACAATATAGCAGGGTTCGGCGTTTTCGGTTTGTATTATTTGAAATTCCGCGCACTTATTTCGGTTTTTATTCCAAAAAAGTTTTCGGTTTATTGCGGTGAATATTTGTAGACTCATAAACGTCTCAGTTATATTAGGTTTATTGACGAAAACCAGTATACTAACGAAAATGCAATATTTAAAAGCGCTTGTGTAAAATGCATATTGAGTACCAGGTACTGGTCTTCTTAATTGTTGCCGTCTTTGGCAGCCGACGCGACCTGTTCTGTAAGATGCACTGGGGCCTTATCGTATCTGACATTATCGTCGTGCGCTCGTATTTGCATACAGGACGAGCATGAGATTCAGTGCCACTTCGGTCGGAGAGGCAAATATCAAAATGGAGAAATTAGCAAGCATTGTGCTCGGTGCGTTTTCCCCCATTTTCACGACTGTGAGAGGTGATAAATTCGCGCCGACGGCAGAAATGACAATAAAACACTCGTATTTATGCCCACCTCTAGTAGACGGAAGCTAGGGGTGTTAAACAATGCGCGGCATTTACGGACGCTCTTGATTACCGTTGTTTGATTTCACGATTAAACTCTCTTCTTTTAACAAAGAATTCGGCACAAATCCCTATCAGGTGAAGAACCCAGATTTCGTTCTGAAGACCCCTGCGCCCCCGGAGCTTATGTTGAAAGTTGAACCGATCTCGCAGACAAGCTGAAAACTGCGAAAGGAAGTGGTCATATGGTCAGTATTCAGTAGGGTTCCGTGTTTTCGGAGTTCGGAGGGTGTTTTTCTGAGTTTATTTTTTGCCGGAAATTCGGAGTTTTTCGGAGTTTATTTTTGTTTGATTCCGAATTCTCCGAAATTTTGAGCTCAATTTCGCAGTGTTTCTTATTCAAAATAAACAAATAATATCAAAATGCAAACGTATAATGGAAAAAAAAAACGCGATTGTATCAACTAATATTTTCTTCAGTTCGATTTCGCGTTGGTGCAATTACTACTGGCAATACTAATTTGTCCTAGAACAAAAGTGGCACACAAGTGTTATTTGGATAAATGTCGATACCTTTAAATCATTAACCTACTGGAGGTAGTCGCTGGGAAGCCTGTATTCATTCCATGCTATTCCATCAACCTACGGCGCGGCTGCAAGAGGTACAGTGGAAAAGGATGAAATAGGGAAGTTTCAACTGTCCTCTTCCCCACTTTATGTAATCTCTATGGTCCATAGCTTTCACGGTTACAAAAACACAACGTCTCCTTCCTCTCAGACACAAATAGTATGACCCAAACCGGAAGCATAAACAGTGACTTTTGTCTTGACCCGATAGTACAATGACCTGTTGTCCTGACCAAAATTCGAAAGATATTTATTTATTTATTTATTGTACATACCCTCAAGCGCCGAAGCATTGTAGAGGGGAGGGGCAAAGCAAAATAAAACAAACTGACAAAACAATAAAAAACAAACAACAAGAAATTGAAATATCAAAAACACACAGCCATTGGCAAAAGCGGCAAGCAATATATTTTACGGAAAAAAATAAACAAAATAAAATGACTCATGTTGGCTCACCAAACAGAAATGTAGACAAAGATTGGCGAAAAAGAGAATAATCAGGTATAGTTGCGATATCTGCTGGAAGGTGGTTCCAGTCGTTTGATGTATGCGGGATAAATGAATAAAAAAAGTGTTTGTTTGGCAACGTGTTAATCCAACTTTATTCCGATGGTCCAGACGGGAAGAGTAATAGCTAGGCAATGTAAAGAAATGGTCTCGCAGCGACTGATGATGATACACTTTATGAAACAGGCAAAGTCGAAAAAACTTTCTGCGCAATGATAAAGAGGGTAACAATAAACTGGATTTCATTGATGATATGCTAGCTGTTCGATTATAATTAGACAGAATGAAACGAACGGCGTTATTTTGTCGACAGCTTTATGCAGAATCGTGTGGTTAGGATCCCAAATAGAGGCTGCGTATTCCAATTTTGACCGTACAAGAGTGTTATAAAGAAGAAGTTTTAAGTTAACTGGGGCCGTTCTGAAGTTTCGTCGTAAGTATCCTAACATGCGGTTAGCGTTGGCGATTATTATATCAATATGAGGCTTCCTGGTTAATGTCGACGATATAGTAACACCCAGATAACGGTATGAATTTACAGATTCAAGTTGAATGTCGGTTAGTGTATATTTTGAAGGGCGTGCGCCTTGCCGGGAAACGCGCATTAGTTTGCATTTGTTAGGGTTTAATTCCATACGCCATTTTTTGCACCAAAGAGTAATATTATTTAAATCAGATTGCAAAATGCGTACGTCATCATCATCATGA